AGAGAAGCACTTTTATTGCTACTTTGGGAATAAACTACAGCCTATAAACTCGGAGATACCAGAAAGTGGGGCAGCCCTGAGAGATCCCAAGGCCACTCCAAATAGCATATCCACACTGCAGGTTTACACATTTACCTTGTACTCCTCCACTGCCTCTTCCACAGGGATCACCATGTGGAACCTGTGCTCCTTGGACTTGTCACAAACCACACAGATCAAGGCCTTGTCGTCCTTGCAAAATAACTTCAGTGCCTCCAGGTGCTGCTTGCACATTTCTTTTCTGGGAGCAGACTCTGGCTTGTGGGTCTTCGGAGTAGGAGTAGGAGTTTTCAGCAGGTCTCTGGCTGCCAGCTCTTTGGCCTTCTCGGCCACCTTCCCCAGCTGGGCATTAGGCCTGAGTTTCCCTTTGTGGCACCTCTTCCTGCATTGTGGACAGGGGAAGCTGTCATCCAGGTTTTCCCAGTAAGTGCTGATGCAAGCCCTGCAGAAATTGTGCTCGCAGTTCAGGATCACTGGCTCAGTGAAATAATCCAAGCATATGGGGCAAAAGAGCTCTTCTTGCAAGGCCCTGGCAGGATTCAGAGCTGCCATGACTGTCCAGGAAAAGGAATGAGAAGAGAAAGTAATGTTGTGTCACGAGGAAGCCTCTTGGCATAAAGCCTACTTAAAAAAAAATATAGGCGTGGAAAATGCAAAGAGACTTGTGCAGTAAAAGGAGAAGTGTTTCGCAGCCTGCAGGAGGAGATAGGCCAAGTTTAGTGGCACATGTTAATTTTTCAGATTACAACTCCCAGATCCCATCCATACAAAACGCCCATCTTCAGAACTGGATATTGGAAGTTGTAGTCCAAAAAAGTAAACTTTCCAAGCTTTGTTAAAATTGTCAACTGACCAGAGGGGAAAAAGGTACCCCTGACTTGTTCTTTGGTTTTTAAGCGATACTTTAGCTCAGGGGTGGGCAACTGGGGAAGGCTATGGGTCCACATTAGCCCTCAGGAGGCCTTGGAGGAGGAACCAGCATGGCACAGTGGCTTGAGTGTTGGACTACGACTCTGGAGAACAGGGTTCAAATCCCCATTCAGCCATGAAATCCACTGGGTTACCTTGGGCAAGCCACATACTCTCAGCTTCAGAGGATGGCACTGGCAAACCCCTTCTGAAGAAACCTGCCAAGAAAACCCCCATAAAAGGTTGTTCTTAGGGTCAGCATAAGTTGGAAATGACTTGAAGGCTTGCTACAACAAAACAAATTTAAAAAATGTATTTGCCCCCAAACACCTCAAGAGGGTAAAGGGGCATTTTCATCATGTTTTGAGTGGCCTGAATTAGCCCAGGGGAACTGTAAAATGTGCTGGAAATGCATCCCACTTCCCCTAGTGGACATTTTGGAGCATTTCAGGACAATTTTTTGTGGGGTGTGTGTGGAATTGTGCAAAAATTATTTTTGACTCATGGGGACCTCCAAATGTGGAGGAGATGCCCTCTGCACCTCCTGGAACACATTTGCACAATTCCAAAGCAAAACAAGACTTTTTAGCAATATAGTTTTGACTTCAGAGGGACCTTGTCACTCACAAAAATAGTGCTGGGAAGCCACATGTGGCCCTTGGGCTGCACTTTGCCCACTCCTGCTCCAGGTCTTTCTCCAAATACCTCCTGCCTAGTTAATGATGCAGTGGCTCAAGTGATTAAGATGATGACTCTGTTGATTGCAAGATCAGCAGGTGGGCAGTTCAAGGCCTGGGTGCTGCATGAGCTCCTGTCACTAGTCCCAGCTTCTGCCAACCTAGG